ACAGAGCAAGACCCTATCTTTTTTTTTTTTTTTTTTTTTTTTTTTGAGACTGAGTTTCACTCCTGTTGCCCAGGCTGGAGTGCAATGGTGCAATCTCAGCTTACCGCAACCGCCGCCACCCAGGTTCAAGCAATTACCCTGCCTCAGCCTCCCAAGTAGCTGGGATTACAGACATGTGCCACCATGCCCAGTTAATTTTGTATTTTTAGTAGAGACAGGGTTTCTCCATAGCAAAAATTGTTTATAGCCAGTTTCTCAAGGATATGTGAGGCTGGGAAGGCTGAGGAAGAGGACTTTTTGTGAGGTGGGACTATTTTTGGGAAGAGCTGTGGGTGTGTTCTCAGCACCCTGAGGAAAGGAGGTGGATGTTTCCTCCTCTAATCAAACCAAGCAAGTTGACCCGATCCATCCCAGTCCCTCTAATATCCAAAGGGGAGTGTGTTAAGAGAGTTCCCAGGAGAACGTTACCTTTTTTCCTGCCATTTAGGGGAAACAGAGATAGGAACTTGATTCGCACGTGGTGACAGGATATGGACCATATGGAGTAAGCTGACCTCAGGAGATCTTGGATCCTGTTCTAGAGAACTTCTGGAGGATCAATGTGACCCACCAGAAAAGGATGACCACAGTATGCCTACAGTTAAGGAAAGGATTTTAAGTGGCCTCTGTAAACAGGATGTTCTGACAACATGGCCTCCCCTGCAGCTGAAGATCTGCAGCAAGGTATTTGCTTAGAAACCCATAAAAACGCCTAACAATAAGAAAAAGGCTGAGCTTTGACTATCCGTGAAGGCAGGAGAGAACCAAACACTGATTATAACAATACCAGTTAAGTAAGACCTTTCCTGTCTCTTTTATTTTTTATTTTTATTTTTTGGGATGGAGTCTCGCTCTGTTGCCCAGGCTGGAATGCAGTGGCGCGATCTCGCCTCACTGCAAGCTCCGCCTCCCGGGTTCACACCATTCTCCTGCCTCAGCCTCCCCAGCAGCTGGGACTACAGGTGCCCGCCACCACGCCTGGCTAATTTTTTGTATTTTTAGTACAGATGGGTTTTCACTGTGTTAGCCAGGATGGTCTCGATCTCCTGACCTTGTGATCTGCCCACCTCGGCCTCCCAAAGTGCTGGGATTACAGGCGTGAGCCACTGCACCCGGCTCTTTCCTGTCTCTTACCTTTCTTCCTTCCCCTTCCTCTTCTCCTACTTTAGGGAGGCTGAGCAATCTACTGTTGGAGGAAGCTGAGAAGACCATGGAGAGGAAATGGAAGCTGCTCACATACTCCTTTCCTCATTCCTTTCCATCTTTACATAAGATTCAGCTGTAGGAAGAAGTCTTAAACAGTTTAAAGTACTAATAATTATAATACACCAGGTATTTCATTTAGCAAATTAAGGCTGATCTTGTCTACTGGATTTTTTTTTTTTTTTTTTTTTTTGAGACGGAGTCTCGCTCTGTTGCCCAGGCTGGAGTGCAGTGGCGCGATCTCGGCTCACTGCAAGCTCCACCTCCCAGGTTCACACCATTCTCCTGCCTCAGCCTCCCGAGTAGCTGGGACTACAGGCGCCTGCCACCGCGCCCAGCTAATTTTTTGTATTTTTTTTTTATTAGAGATGGGGTTTCACTGTGTTAGTCAGGATGGTCTCGATCTCCTGACCTCATGATCTGCCCGCCTCAGCCTCCCTGGATTTTTGACTACAATGACACGTGCCAGACATTTCATCCAGAGGCAGGAAAAAATACCATCTCACAGAGAAGGGCTGCAAGAGACAATTATGGGAGAATCGTTTTTTTTTGAAAATACAAAATTTTACTCTGGAATAGGTTAAAGACCTAATTGTGTAAGATAGAACTACAAAGTCAATAGACAAAAATGTAGAAGAATTTCTTCGTGACCTTAGAAAAGAAAAATGTTTCTTTTTTTCTTTTCTTTTTTGAGACAGAGTTTTGCTCTTGTTGCCCAGGCTGGAGTACAGTGGCACGATCTTGGCTCACTGCAACCTCCATCTCCCAGGTTCAAGAAATTCTCCTGACTCAACCTCCTGAGTAGCTGGGATTATAGGAGCCCGCCACCACACCCGATTAATTTTTGTATTTTTAGTAGACACGGGGTTTCACCATGTTGGCCAGGCTGGTCTTGAACTTCTGACCTCAGGTGATCCGCCCACCTTGGCCTCCCAAAGTGCTGGGATTACAGGTGTGAGCCACTGCTCCCAGCCAGAAAAATGTTTCTTAAATAATAATACCATAAGCCATACACATATACACAAACACATAACAATATTAAAATAAGTATTTCTATTTAATAAAAAGTATAATAAACAGAATACATAAGAGGATATCAGCAGAGTCTAAAACTGTCAGGGAGCTAATATCTAGAAAATGTAAGAAACATTTGAACCCAGGAGGCAGAGGTTGCAGTGAGCTGAGATTGTGCCACTGCACTCCAGACTGGGCAACAGAGCAAGACTCTGTCTGAAAAAAAAACAAAAAACAAAAAATACATGGTTATGAGATAGCTGCTCTGCATGTAGCATGATATCCACATTCCAGACAGAAAGGGGGAAAAGAATGCATGCGCACCGAGACTGCCCCACACCATCCCCACACCTTTAAAGAACTGCCTGAGGGGCTAGGCGCAGTAGCTCATGGCTGTAACCCCAGTACTCTGGGAGGCTGAGGCGGGTGGATCACCTGAGGTCAGAAGTTCGAGACCAGCCTGGCCAACATGGTGGAACCCTTGTCGCTACTAAAAATACAAAAATTAGCCGGGCATGGTGGCGGGCGCCTGTAATCCCAGCTACTCAGGAGCCTGAGGCGGGAGAACTGCTTGAACCTGGGAGGTGGAGGTTGCAGTTAGCCGAGATCATGCTACTGCACTCCAACCTGGGTGACTGAGTGGAGACTCCGTCTCAAAAAAGAAAAGAACTGTCTGAGAAGCCCAATCTAAGAACTTTAACTTACATCAACAGGAGAAGCTAGAACATGTAGAGTTTGGGTTTTTTTGTTGGTTTTCTGTTTGTTTTTCTTTATTTAAGCAGAGCAAACAAACAACATCAGGACTTTTATAGCAATAAAGAAGGGAATGGATATTGGGTTAGCCACATATGTGGCAAAACAATGAATAGTATCTACAATTTAATATATTAAATAGCTTTCAATTATGTAGGAAGTTAAAATATCACTTATAACATTAGATACATGTCAATATGTGCATATACAAATATGTGTATTTGTATGTATATGCATATATATCTACATATGTATATAGGTAAAACCAAACTAGGCATACATGATAAACTGAACAATTTGCTATATTAATAAGAGAAAATTGCCGGGCGCGGTGGCTCACGCCTGTAATCCCAGCACTTTGGGAGGCCGAGGCGGGCGGATCACAAGGTCAGGAGATCGAGACCACGGTGAAACCCCGTCTCTACTAAAAATACAAAAAATTAGCCGGGCGCGGTGGCGGGCGCCTGTAGTCCCAGCTACTCAGGAGGCTGAGGCAGGAGAATGGCGTGAACCCAGGAGGCGGAGCTTGCAGTGAGCCGAGATCGCGCCACTGCACTCCAGCCTGGGTGACAGAGCGAGACTCCGTCTCAAAAAACAAAAAAAAAAAAAAACAAAAAAAAAAAAAAAAAGAAAATTAGGAAGATATTTCCAAAGAGAAACGTAAGATTCCAGGTTACCTGATAAGTCCTTTTCAGCATTTGCTAAGAGAAAAAAAAAAAAAAAAAATCAGCCGGGCACCGTGGCTCATGCCTGTAATCCCAGCACTATGGGAGGCAGAAGCGGGCAGATCACGAGGTCAGGAGTTCGAGACTAGCCTGGCCAACATAGTGAAGCCCCGCCTCTACTAAAAATACAAAGGAAAAAAATTAGCCGGGCATGGTGACCGGCACCTGTAAGCCTAGCTACTCGGGAGGTTGAGGAAGGAGAATCGCTTGAACCTGGGAGGCAGAGGTTGCAGTGAGCCGAGATCGCCCCACTGCACACCAGCTTGGGCGACAGTGCGAGACTCCGTCTCAAAAAAAAAAAAAAAAAAAAAAAAATCATGTCCTGGAAAAACAAAGCATTTCAGGAACAAAGAGAAAACTTCAAGGCACCTTAAACATGGCTTTTAGATATCACAACCACTATTTCCTCTCCTCTGGGGAACCTCTCTTGGAGGACATAAATGAGAAGGGAGAAGACAATACACCTCCCCTGGTGCCCAAATGACAACGCCAGAGCTTACTCTGCGTTCCCCTCCCCCACCATGGGAGGGCTATCAGAGGAAACTGGGGCTTCCAACTCAAACTCAGTGTCATAGAAAAATCCCCTTTACTATCATGGGACCGAGGTGTCTTCTGCTGTCATATATGACTATGTGTGACATTTGGTCAAAGACACACAAACACAGTCTCAACTCCACGCACACACAGTGCTTGACAGTCACACACCCACCACTGGATACAAAGTCACAAGCACCCAACCTCCATATTTCCACACAAGGACAGAGTCACAACTACACAAGTACGAAGCCCCCCATATCTGCGCACAGACGAACATATGGTCACAGAGTCACAATCACACACTAACCGCGGGCACACAATCACAGCTAACCCACACCCTCACACAGCGTTACACAGTCACACATTAACAGTCCTAACCCAGGGACTCACGGGACACCCACAGAGTCCTCCCCACATCCGTACACAAGGTGTCACACAGTCACAATCACACACACCCTGTGCTAGGACATACAGTCACAAAATCACAATTTCACAATCGCCCTTCCTCGGCCCGTTCCGCCTGAACAGACTTAATACTCAGTCTCAACCCCCGCACCGGATTCTAGACGCTTCACCTCCAACCTCCTCGGGATCACATAGTCTCCCAGCCGACCGGCTCAGAGCCCAGCACCTGGGTCGCTCGCACCTCTCCACGGAGTCGCGGGAGTCGCGAGGGGAAGGACCGAGAGCGCGGCGCCTTCTGGGAAATGTAGTTCAGCGCCACGCCCACGATGGGCAAGATGGCGCTCGGCTTGAGCCTAGCCAAAGTGATTACCCTCATTCCCGAACCGTGTCTGAGAGTCTCCTGGGGGTCCTGGCTTACTATCGCACCGTGGCTCTTACATGAAGTCAGTACAGCGTGTTTAAGCTGATCTCACACGTGTGGCACACACTACCCAGTCCCAGGGATCGAGTAAACTAAGACTCGGCCTTACACCCTGCCCCGGCCAGGGAGACAGTCCCACAAGCTCTAGCGGAGGAAAGAAAGTTCGCGCGAAAAGCAGACTCAAACCGCTGAACCTTCTGGGAAATGTAGTCTACCCTCAAAAGAGTGGCACGGAGGACGGGCCAAGATCTGTAGATTCCGTCCGGTTCTGAGCCTGGGCCTGGCCCAGCCCAGGAGACCTCTGGGAGCGCTGCCCGCCGAAGGAGTGCGCAGGCGCGGACTCTCCGACTCGCCATGGTGGTCTTTGTCTGCCGGTGAGTTGGTTTCGGCTCTGTGGGACTTGGGTTTGTGGACACTGAAACGGGCCAGGGACGCTGGAGGAGAGGATTTGCAGTGCCTGCGACGGGGCTGGGGAGTGTGGAGGGGAGGAATCGCCTTCTGTGATGTGCGGTGATCAGAGCTTGTGTGGCTGGGGGCAGGGGTACAGTAGGAAACGGGTGGGTTCGCGAGTGGGTGACCGAGGGTGTGAGGGAGTATTGAGGGTTACAGAGTTAGTGAGAAACTGGTTCCAAGTTTGTGAGGATGGACAGATGGCTTTGTGAGGTAGTAACCTCTAAGCCTCACTTTTCTCATTTCTAAAATAATAAAGATGCATTTTTTGGAAAATAGGAAAAGGGAAAGGCTAAGGAATTGAGCGGATAAGTACTTTTAAACGTGATTTTTATATAAAAGCAGACCTATTGTGGAGTAGAAAACAAAATCAGCATTACCTTTCCATTTTTTTTTAAAGAGGAAAGATTGCCGAAAAACTTGTTACTGGATGCCTGTACACCCAGTAGGCATTGACTTTTCTTGATACTTTGGAGAAACTTCGGTGCAGTTGCTTAGAGAGACCCTGAACTAAGGAATATCTTTAAGAGTTTCTAAGGAATATCCTCACTAGTTTCCACTAGTGCAGACAGCACAGAATTGGGAAGCTACTTGTCCTGCCTTTAGTGCAGAGGTCAAGAAACTCCCTAGTTCGTCAATGAGGGCAGCAATCTGACTCCTAATTTAATCAGGGTTTCCCCAGCCTTTTGTAAATATAGGGGAAATTTTTTTCTTCTATATATAAAGATAGAAGTATTCTATCTTAAAGTATCTTGTCACACTTATTCTTAACATATTTTTCAATAAAATAAAAAAGTAACAGTGTTAATAGTTTTGAAATACACAGAAAAAGTAAAAGATACAAAGAAGACAGGACTTAGTTTCTGCTTTTCCTCTAACTATTGGTGTTTCTAAGTTTCTGGCCTTGATCATCTTTTCACCCCTAAGTACTCCTATCAGCAACAACATTACGCTGCCATGGCTTCATCTAATGCAGTGACTAATAAATATCAGTTTCTACTGGAGGCTTGTCCTGAGCTCCTGATCCATATTATCTAATTGCCCAATGTACAGTCCACCTGGAAGTTGCACTGGAACTTCAAGCTCTTTATGTCTGAAGTGTCATACTGATAGCTCCTTCTTCCTGCAGTCTGCCTCCATCTATTTCCCCTCTGTACCCGTTTCAGCAGTTCATAGCACGGGCTAGCCAGGTTCTAAGTCTCTCACATCTTAGAGAAGGCTTCTGAGTAAGTTTTCTCCTTTCATTTGTTATATCCCATTACAAATTGTAAACCAAGGTTTCTCAGCACACATAATCATAAATGCATATGTTTGCTGAATCAGTGAATGAGCATACAGTCAGCCCTCTGTGTCTGTAGGTTCTGCTTCCACGTATTCAACAAACATGAATCATAACTGTTGTTAAGCTTGTGATGGTTGTGTCTGTGCTGTACATGTACAGATTTTTTTTCTTGTCATGATTCCTTGAACAATATAGTACAACAACTACTTACCAGGCATTTATGTTGTATTAGGTATGATAAGTAATTTGAAGATAATTTTAAAGTATATGGGAGGATGTGCCTAGGTTATATGTAATAAGTATACTTCCATATACTTTATTTTTATTTTTTTGAGATAGAGTCTCATTCTGTCACCCAGGCTGGAGTGCGGTGGTGCAATTTTGGCTCACTGCAACCTCCGTCTCCTGGGTTCAAGTGATTCTCCTGCCTCAGGCTCCCAAGTAGCTGGGATACAGGTGTGCACCACCATGCCCAGCAATTTTTTAATTTTTAGTAGAGATGGGGTTTCACCATCTTGGCCAGCCTGGTCTCCAACTCCTGACCTCAAGTGGTCCACCTGCCTCAGCCTCCCAAAGTGCTGGGATTATAGGCATGAGCCACCGTGCCTGGCTTTATATTTAAAGTATAAGGGACTTGAGCATCTGCAGATTTTGGTATCCACAGTGATCCTGGAACTAATCCGCTGTGATATCAGGGGAAGACTATTATTATAGGATACTTATTATATTTAACTTCTAGTTAATCTAAGTAAAATATTAGTCCTCTAAATTTTTTAGAGCTCTGACTTATAAATACCATCAGAATAATTTCCTGTATTTTTTCAATATCACTCAAGGTTGGTTACTTCATATTTATGAGAAAAGTGTTATGGGGAAAAATTATATTCAAAAATGTGACTTCAGTCAGGAGCAAGGTCACAAGTGACACCTGCTCGAAGGAACCTGTACAGGTTGTGATTGTGGATCACTCTGGCATCTTTGTCTCTTATAGTTTCTCTGTGTAACCTAAATTCTGAAAAGAAAGTCCCTTCTGTTTCTCATTTTTGAAATGTTTAGAGCTTTTTTTTTCTTCCTTCCTTGAGATGGCGTCTCCCACTGTCCCTTAGGCTGGAGTACAGTAGCGTGATCTTGGCTCACTGCAACCTCTGCCTCCTGGCTTCAAGTGATTCTCCTGCCTCAGCCTCCTGAGCAGCTGGGATTACAGGTGCCCACCACCACGCCTGGCTAATTTTTGTGTTTTTAGTAGAGATGGGGTTTCACCATGTTGGCCAGGCAGGTCTTGAACTCCTGACCTCAAGTGATCTGCCCACCTTGGCCTCCCAAAGTGCTGAGATTACAGACGTGAGCTTCCATGCCTGGCCATTGAAATGTGTAGAGCTTTTGAATGGCATAATGGATGCTGGCCTGAGATGCTATGTACAAATACTCTTTTTCTACTTGCTCGCATGTAGGTCAAAGCCAAAGAGTCATCATTACTTTGTTCTTTTTCACAGGCTTGCTTCCTTGTACATCCTCAGGAGCTGCAAAACCTCTTAGAGTTCTAAGGGCTCTGCCTGAATTTTGGGATGCTGCTTTGTTCCCCAACCATAACATCCAAGTCCAGTGTGATTTTTCTTCTCACAAGTTTAAAGTCAACACTTAAAAGAAGAACAGCAACAGATGATTGAGAAAGAAATGTGAAGAAGGTTCTCTGTGAGTAAGCAAGAAGCTGGTAGGTGTGAATGGGATAAAGACTTACTGCAGTTATTCAGTGAGAGTTTGCAGCCTCAGCCTCTGAGTTGTTGTGGGTTTTTGTTGTTGTTGTTTTGAGATTTTTGTACTAGCCTTTGTCTTTTAGAGTGACTGTTGCTGGGAGTTCTTTAGATACCTAAATGACATTTCCAGACCGTCTTCCTGAATCTATGCATCCCTTTTATCAGATTCTAGAGGACTGATTGCTCTTCTAAACTCTGTTCTGGATGCCAGTCACTCTACATCATTCACAGTCTCACGTTTATGATTTTTTACAGCCTCAATTTCACTTTTCTTCCTTTCACTAACATTCTCCATTTTTCACTTTTCCCGTATGCCTAGATGCATTTCCTTAAGCATTCAGTCCTTCATAGATCTGTTAGCTTTCAAAAACTAGCATGTAAGCTCTTTTCTTTAAAATGTAATCTTTCTATGTACAACTATTATGTATCAATAAAAAAAATTTCGAAAACTAGCAAGTAGATTCTTTACATTTTAACTTTCTGTCATTCTTTCTCCTTCCATTGTTATATTCCTCAGAATTGAATTTTACTTCCTTACTCTTGTTTTCCATTGTCTTCCTACCTCCAGCCATCATAGTCCAATGCTGTGTCACCTCCTGCTTTTTAACAATATTGCAGGCTTGGGGATTAGTGCTAACTTCCTATTAGTTCATTTCGCTGTTAATTTTAAAAAGAAATAACAATGGCTGGGCATGGTGGCTCATGCCTGTAATCCCAGTACTTTGAGAGGCTGTGGCAGGCAGATCACGAGGTCAGGAGTTCGAGACCAGCCTGACCAACATGGTGAAACCCCGTCTCTACTAAAAGTACAAAAATTAACCTGGCGTGGTGGCACACGCCTGTAATCCCAGCTACTCAGGAGCCAGAGGCAGGAGAATCACTTGAACCCGGGAGGCGGAGGTTGCAGTGAGCCGGGATCACGCCACTGCACTCCAGCCTGGGCGACAGAGTGAGACTCCATCTCAAAAAAAAAAAAAAAAAAAAAAAAAAAAAACTATTATTATCAAAATGTAATATATATACTTCATAGAAAATTAAAACAATTGGGTATGTCTCTTTATTCCTCGCCTTCAATTCCTTGTTTCCCAGAAGCAGCCACTGTTAACGGTGTCTGCTATATGCTTCTAAATGTTTTTATGAGGATACAAAAAGGCTTTCAAGTAGAGCAGTGACATGATTTGACGATGACAAGATTACTGTGGTTGCTGTGTTGAGAATTGTAAAGAGGTGAAAGCTAAAATAGCAAGACTGGTAAGGAAGCTGTTAAATAATCCAGGCAAGACACCTGGCTTAGACCTTGGTGGTCACAGAGAGGCTTGTCCAAAATAGCTGGCAAGCACGAGGTTGTAAAGAGTGTGTAATCTGACAGAAAGATAAATGTTTTTTGAGCAACAAAGAGAATGAGATTGCTATTTGAAGAGATGAGAAGAATTTGAGAGGAGTTGGTTTGGGAGCTGGAGCAAGAGTTTGAATAGGGGTAGGGTAAGTGAGATCACTATTAGACATCCAGGTGGAAATGTTGAGTAGTCAGTTGGATATTTGAATTGGTTGTTGAGGAGAGAGGTCCAGGCTGGTGATTAATATTTGTTAGGCATCTCAGATTCATGATACTTAAAGCAATAAGAAGTGCACTAATCACAGTAAAGCTAAGTGACTGTAATAAACCTCAAAGTGCCAGTTTAAGGAATGTAGGAATTGATTTCTTGGTCACATAACACTCATGTAGTGAATAGTCTGGATTTGCGTGCTAACTTTGGTGCTTATGGTCCCTGAAGGATATGGATTCCTCCCAGGTTCTCTCTTTATTATCTGGTTGTGGTTGGAGCTGGATCAACAATGCATCCTGGTTTCAGCCAGATAGAAGATGGAGGAATTGCTACGCTAGGACAGGAGTTCAGCAAACTTTTTCTGTAAGGGGCCAGATGGTTAATATTTAAGTCTTTGTAGGCTACAGGGTCTCCATTGCAGCTACTCAACTCTAGCATTATACTGTGAAAGTAGTCATGGACAAGACAATGAATAAAGACGGCCATGTTCCAGAAAAACTCTTTTAGTTTGCCAACCTTGTGATGTTTTTGTTTTTGTTTATTTTATTTTATTTATTTATTTATTTTGAGATGGAGTTTCACTCTTGTTGCCCAGGCCAGAGTGCAATGGTGCAATCTCGGCTCACTATGACCTCCACCTCCCAGGTTCAAATGATTCTCCTGCCTTGGCCTCCTGAGTAGCTGGCATTACAGGAACACATCACCACGCCCAGCTAAGTTTTTGTATTTCTAGTAGAGACAGGGTTTCACTATGTTGGCCAGGCTGGTCTTGAACTCATGACCTCAGGTGATCCACTTGCCTCGGCCTCCCAAAGTGCTGGGATTATGGGCGTGAGCCACCAAACCTGGCGCCAACCCTTGTTTTAACAGGTCACTATTTACATAGAATACAATTAAGAGTTTGCTAGGCGTTAGAGCATTTTGACTTCTATTTCGAAAGCTTTTATTTTTTTATTTTTTTGAGATGGGTCTCACACTGTCACCTGGACTGGAGTGCAGTGGCGCGATCTCGGCTCACGGCAACCTCTGCCTCCCAGGTTCAAGTGATTCTCCTGCCTCACCCTCCCAAGTAGCTGGGATTACAGGCGCCCACCACCACGCCTAGCTAATTTTTTGTATTTTCAGTAGAGACGGGGTTTCACTGTGTTGGCCAGACTGGTCTCAAACTCCCAACCTTGTGATCTGCCTGCCTCAACCTCCTAAAGTGCTGGGATTACAGGCGTGAGCCATTGCACCTGGCCTTATTTTATTTTTTGAGACAGAGTCTTGCTGTGTCACCCAGGCTAGAGCGCAGTGGTACAATCTTGGCTCACTGCAACCTCTGCCTCCCGGGTTCAAGCGATTCTTTTGCCTCAGCCTCCTGAGTAGCTGGAATTTACAGGTGCCCACCACCATGCCTAGCTAATTTTTATATTTTTAGTAGAGACAGAGTTTCACCATGTTGTCCAGGCTGGTCTCAAACTCCTGACCTCGGGTGATCTGCCTGCCTCATCCTTCCTAAGTGCTGGGATTACAGGCGTGTGCCACTGCACCCGGTCCTGAGAATATTTTTTAAACCATGGGATAAATGTTGAAAGAACCTTTTTTTTTTGTTTTTGTGTTGTTGTTGTTGTTGTTGTTGTTGTTGTTGTGACGGAGTCTCACTTCATCACCCAGGCTGGAGTGCAGTCGCGCTATCTCGGCTCACTGCAAGCTCCGCCTCCCAGGTTCACTCCATTCTCCTGCCTCAGCCTCCGAGTAGCTGGGACTGCAGGCGCGCACCACCACGCCTGGCTAATTTTTTGTATTTTTAGTGGTGACGGAGTTTCACCGTGTTAGCCAGGATGGTCTCGATCCCCTGACCTCGTGATCTGCCCGCCTCGGCCTCCCAAAGTGCTGGGATTACAGGCGTGAGCCACTATGCCCAGTGAAAGAACCATTTTACTTGGCATTCTGATGATGTTTTCTAGTTTAGTTCAGCATTGTCATTTACAGTGTTAAAAATTCAATTCTGATAAGTGTGTGAAGGATGTAGGGTTTTTTGTTTGTTTGTTTGTTTGTTTGCCTCCTGGGTTTACGCCATTCTCCTCCCTCAGCCTCCCGAGTAGCTGGGACTACAGGCGCCTGCCACCTCGCCCGGCTAGTTTTTTGTATTTTTTAGTAGAGACGGGGTTTCACTGTGTTAGCCAGGATGGTCTGGATCATTTGACCTCGTGATCTGCCCGTCTCGGCCTCCCAAAGTGCTGGGATTATAGGCTTGAGCCAGCACGCCTGGCCAGATGTAGGGTTTTAATTACAAAGGAGATGTAATTTTGAATTTTCTTTTGGATTGTTTGGAATGTAAGTAGCATAAGTCCTGATCTGTTATGCATCATACCAATTTTCATGAATTTTTTAAAAGTAATTGGAAAACTTAAAATAAATAATACCACTATCTAATCAAAGTTTAGTAAAATTCACATACTAAGCCATCTATGCCTTGGGCTTTAAGGAGCAAGAGCTCTATTTTTCCCTTCTTCTTTCTTTTTTTTTGAGACAAGGTCTTGCTGGGTCTCCCAGGCTGGAGTGCAGTGGCATGATCACAGCTCACTGCAGCCTTGAGCTCCTAACTCAAGTAATCCTCCCACCTCAACCTTCTGAGCAGCTGGGACTACAGGCGCCTGCCACTGTGCCCACCTAATTTTTAAATTGTTTGTAGAGACAGGGTCTCACGATTTTGGCCAGGCTGGTCTTTTTTTCTTTTTTTTTTTTTTTTTTTTTTTTTTTGAGACAGTCTTGCTCTGTCACCCAAGCTGGGGTGCAGTGGGGCGATCTCGGCTCACTGCAAGCTTTGCCTCCCGGGTTTGAGTAATTCTTCTGCCTCAGCCTCCCAAGTAGCTGGGACTACAGGTGCCCGCCACCACGCCTGGCTAATTTTTTTTTTTTTTTTTTTTTTTTTTTTGTATTTTTAGTACACACTGGGTTTCACCACATTAGCCAGAATGGTCTTGATCTCCTGACCTCATGATCCGCCTGCCTTGTCCTCCTAAAGTGCTGGGATTACAGGGGTGAGCCACCGTGCCCGGCTGCCCAGGCTGGTCTTGAACGGCTGGGCTCAAATGATCCACCTGCCTCGGCCTCCTAAAGTTCTGGGATTACAGGTGTGAGCCACCACACCCAGCCCTATTTTGTTCTATGTTTATTTTTCTGTTTAGGTTTTCTGTCTTTTCTGGTTTCAGTTTGCATAGGTTATACTTGCTAAGTGTTCTATTTGTATGGGGTTTAACAAAATAGTCTGTACTATCCTTATTTTCTATCTATAGTTATTTCCAAATATCTTTTTCTTTTTTGCTCTTCTTTTAAGTTTTCCCCTAAGAATCCACTCATGAATTTATTATTTTTCTTTTTCTGTTTGTAATACATTAATTTCTTTCTCTTATATTTACTAATTTTCTGTTTTTCTTTTTCTTTTTCTTTTCTTTTTTTTTTTTTTTTTTTTGAGACAGAGTCTCACTCTGTTGCCCAGGCTGGAGTGCAGTGACACAATTGGCTCACTGCAACTTCCTCTTCCAGGGTTCAAGCAATTCTCTGGCCTCAGCCTCCCGAGTAGGTGGGATTACAGGCGCGCACCACCACACCCGGCTAATTTGGTATTTTTAGTAGAGATGGGGTTTCACCATGTTGGCCAGGCTGGTCTCAAACTCCTAACCTCAAGTGATCTGCCCACCTCGGCCTCCCAAAGTGCTGGGATTACAGACATGAGCCACCGCGCCCGGTGTGTTTTTCTTATATTTTCTTTTTCTTATGTTAATTACTTTGAGTGCTTATTTTACTACTTTTTAAAACATAATGTAAGCATTTATGCTAAAACTTCATTCTCCAAGCATTTTTTAAAAATATGTTTTATAGGTTCTGTCATACTTTGTTTTCATGAATAATATTTCTAAATATTCTGCAATTTATTTTAATTTTCTCTGGCTAAGGGTTTGTTCAAACCAGTAGATTTTGAAATTTACAAGTGAAAGGTTTTGTTTTTGTTCTGCCATTTCTATGTGTTGTGTTTTGTTTTTGTTTTTTTGGTCAGAGTATTTTGTCCATCCTTTACTACTTTGTGGAATAATACTATATGGGCTGATTTTAAGAATGTTCTTTGGGCATTTAAAAAGGTGGTTTATAATCTATTTTCAAGATATAGGATAAACTGATTAATAAAATATTTTATAAATGTATATACATTTTTCTTTTCATATATATTGTATTTTATGGATTTGAATTCAGAGGTTGAGAGTGGTTGTTTTCTCAGTTACTAACGGGGTTCTGAAATGGTTACCCCCAGTATGTTATACCCATACTTCCCCTTCTGACTTCTGATACTAGGAAGATCACTGCTTTTTTATTAAAGCATTTGTAAGTATTTACATAACTGTAACATTGTAAGCATTGTTGACTGGTAAACCAAATGATTTGCTCTGATTTTGTTTGGTTTCTTGTATAACCTTTTGATTTTCTTTGAGTTAATATTTGCCTCTTTGTTTTGTTTGCTTAGTTTTCCATTTTTGTGTTTTGGTTCTTCCCAAGCTTTCAAACAGAACTGTAAAACCTAGAACTCTAGGTTGGAAACAACTTATGGTCAGGATTATCCATTGTCTTGCAATCTGATGCCTTTTTGATGTGGTATGTCTTTTTCTTTTATTTCCTTTTATATGATAAATACTGTTTTGGAACATTTAGGATTTTTTTTTTTTTTTTTTAAAGACAAGGTCTCACTCTTGCCCAAGCTGGAGTTCAGTAGCATAATAATAGCTCACTCCCCTGGGCTCAAGCCATCCTACCATCTCAGCCTCCCCAAGTAGAAGGGAGTACAGGTATATGCCACCACACCCAGATAATCTTTTTCATTTTTAGTAGAGACAATATCACACTGTGTTGCACAGGCTGGTCTCAAAGTAGGATCCTCTTTTTATCCCTAGCTGAAATTTTGTATTGATGTGCTTTTGCTGGGATCTTTTTAAATGGAATGTTCTTTGTACTCAATGGGCCTGTTAAGTATGTAGACTCATGATTTGTAATTCTGGGAAGTGTTCTTTATTAGTTCTTTGAAAATGTCCTGTACTAATTTTTCCTCATACTTTCTTTGGAGCTCCTTTAGTAGATGTTGAACCTTCTAGATTCTTCCACTAACCCACTAATGTTCCAGTCATTATACTCTTTTTTTCTCCCTTCTTCCATTCTTCCTTGTTTTATTCTAGGAGATTTTCTAGACTTTCTTACCCCAACATATTGAATTTTTAAGATCAATTTCATATTGTTTATTTCTAAAAACACCTCTTTATAGAATACTGTTGATATTTCATTGTAGTGATAATAGTAATCTCCTAACTTTCCATGATATTAATTGTAGTGTTACATGAGTGAGTTTTTCTGCTCTTTGCCTTGTATTTTGTTTGATCTGGCTTTGATGTTAGGGCTTTCATCAAATGTTTTCTGATCTTTAGCTCTACATTAATTTGTATACATAAGCGGGGCTTGTAAAATGGTGGTTTTCACTGTGCATCAATCAGTAATATAGATATGTTTCTTTAGATGATTCTAAATGTTAATATCTGTAGGTGTTCTCATGGTCCTCTCATTTTTTCAGAAAATAATTCTTCCGGGCCGGGTGCAGTGGCTCATGCCTGTATTCCCAGCACTTTGGGAGGCCAAGGTGGGCAGATCACAAGATCAGGAGTTCGAGACCAGCCTGGCCAACATGGCGAAACCCTATCTCTAACTAAAAATACAAAAATTAGCTGGGCGAGGTGGCAGGTGCCTGTAATCCCAGCTACTCGGGAGGCTGATGCAGGAGAATCCCTTCAACCCGGGAGGCAGAGGTTGCAGTGAGCCAAGCAGCACTCCACTGCACTTCAGCCTGGGCAACAGAGCGAGACTCCGTCTCAAAAAAAAAAAAAAAAAAAAAAAAGGAAGAAGAAAAGAAAATAATTCTTCCATCATCTGACACCTAGCAACCACCAGCATTCTCGAAATCTAACAGTAGAGGAGCCTCTGTTACATGTATAAACTTTTACTCATTCTTCTCTTCTTACTATGATGCTCTCATTACTTTGCTGGTTGTCACTCAATTTGGAGCCTCTTGGTTTTGTCTGGATGATAAACTTCACATTTCTGTCCAGCTAGGAGAGTTCAGGGCATTAGCTGGTCCTTTCACAGTCATTTTGTAAGCCCTGCCTTCCATTCTTGCCCAGTCTCTCCACTGATAGAGCCTATCTGTCAATATCTGTGTTACGGACCTGTGAAGCTGGCACCCACATCTGCTGGCTTTTCTTTAAACCACTCAGTTCTGCTGTTAATTTACAGTTCTCTATTTGCTTTCTTTCCAAAATTTACTAATACTTTTTTTTTTTTAGAGACAAGGTCATGCTCTGTCACCTAGGCTGGATTGCAATGGCATGATGATAGCATACTGCAGCCTCGAAGTCCTGGGCTCAAGCTATCCTCCTACTTCAGCCTCCCAAGTAACTAAGACTTCAGGTGTATGCTACTGCACCTCCCTAATTTTTTTAATTTTTGTAGATATAAAGCCTTGCTGTGCTGCTTAGGCTGATCTCAAACTCCTGGCCTCAAGCAGTCCTCCAGCCTTGGCATCCCAAAGTGCTGGGATTACAGGAATGAGCCACTATCCCTAGTCCTCCTAATACTTTTTGTCCACTGATATCTTCTTAACTTTTTGGTTCTTAAAAGTGTGTGTCCCCTTTCACCCTTTACTGTCATTTTAATGGTGTTTTGGGAAGACATAGAAATAAATACCGTATTTAAAATTTTCTGTTCATTTTATTTTTGTCCTGTCTTCCTATGCTCTCCCAGTCTTTTAAGTATTTGTCCTTTCATCCTGTTTCTCACCTATTCTTTATGTTTTAAAGACCAAGTCGGCTGGGCACAGTGGCTCACACCTGTAATCCTAGCAGTTTGGGAGGCCAAGGCAGGCAGATCACGAGGTCAGGAGATTGAGACCATCCTGGCTAATACTGTGAAACCCCATCTCTACTAAAAATACAAAAAATTAGCCGGGCGTGGTGGCGGGCACCTGTAGTCCCAGCTACTCGGGAGGCTGAGGCAGGAGAATGGCTTGAACCCAAGAGGTGGAACTTGCAGTGAGCCGTGATCACGCCACTGCACTCCAGCCTGGGCGACAGAGCAACACTCCGCCTCAAAAAAATAAAATAAAAGACTGAGTCCTGCTCTGTCACCCAGACACTGGCACGATCATAGCTCACTGCAGCCTTGAAATCCTGGGCTTAAGCCATCTGCCCACCTCAACCTCCTCAGTAGCTAGGACTACAGGCACCATACCTGGCTAGTTTTTAAATTTTTTTTTTTTTTTTTTTTTTTTTTTTTTTTTTTTTTTTTTTTTTTTTTTGAGACTGAGTCTGGCTCTGTCGCCCAGGCTGGAGTGCAGTGGCCGGATCTCAGCTCACTGCAAGCTCCACCTCCCGGGTTTACGCCATTCTCCTGCCTCAGCCTCCCGAGTAGCTGGGACCACAGGCGCCCGCCACTTCGCCCGGCTAGTTTTTTTGTATTTTTTAGTAGAGACGGGGTTTCACCGTGTTAGCCAGGATGGTCTCGATCTCCTGACCTCGTGATCCGCCCGTCTCGGCCTCCCAAAGTGCTGGGATTACAGGCTTGAGCCACCGCGCCCGGCGTTTTTAAATTTTTTATAGAGACGGGAGTCTCACTATGTTACGCAGGCTGCTCTCAAACTCCTGGCCTCAAGCAATTTTCCTGCCTCACCCTTCCAAAATGCTGGGATTATAGGTATGAACCATCATACTTCGCCTTATTTTCTCTGATTTTACTGATTTATGAAGCGTGCTGGGTTACATTTAAAAGCAGTTAAAATTACACATACCTGGGAATGTTATTTGTATTTGAACTTTATTTTATAATGAGACTAGGCTTGGATAAAGAATCTATTTTACAGCCATGCGCAGTGGCTCATGCCTGTAATCCCAGCACTTTGGGAGGCTGAGGCGGGCGGATCACCTGAAGTCAGGAGTTCCAGACCGGCCTGGCCAACATGGAGAAACCTCGTCTCTACTAAAAATACAAAAATTAGCCAGGCGTGGTGGCAGGCTCCTGTAATCCCAGCTACTCCGGAGGCTGAGGCATGAGGATCGCTTGACCCCAGAGGGCAGAGGTTGCCGTGAGCCAAAGTCACGCCATTGCCCTCCAGCGTGGGCAACAAGAGCAAAATTCCATCTCAATAAAAAAATCTGTTTTACAATAACACATTTCTGAAATCAGATTAATAATGGGAAACTTCAAAGGTGTTAGTGATGTTACGTTGATGATAATGATAACCTAATTTATTGGATATTTATTATGTGCCAGGCACTATATATTTTATTAACTCTTTTTCAATGATGATTTTTTTGTACTTCCTTTTAGAAGAAGCCTGGGAAGTTTATAAACAGATAAAGACGCAACATGAAAGACTTGTAAATTAAGTCTCATCTTTCTCTGTGAAAATACAGACTGAGGGAAAATTTAGGAAACAAAGTATTTCTTCTGAACACAGTCATTGATTCTTCAAGACTACCCTTCTGTGTATGGGACTCAGTTTAAAACAGTTTGAAACATAATTTATAAATAGTTTATACCTAAATATGAGAGAAGCTGTATAAGAACCATTAAGAATATAAAGAGAATGCTACATTTTATCCCTTTTTGTAATCATCTCATCTCAGGGTAATCAGTGTGAGAGAAGTCTTCCATCATAAATTTAACTTCATTAGATACCCAAGAATTAGTATTGAAAATACACCCTACGAATTTAGTGAATGTGGGAAAGCTTTCATCATTATTACATCTTATTTGATACTAGGGAAATCTCCTGATTACATTCACATGCATGATAGGCATGTTGGAAAGTCTTCAGCATGAATCAGATCTCCTTCAGCATGATCAAATTCATACTGGAGAGGAACCTTATGAGTGTAATGAATGTAGAAAAACCTTTAGCCTGAAGCAAAACCTCCTAGAGCATAAGAACATGCATACTGGAGAGAAATCTCATGAATGCACTGAATGTGGGAAAGTGTGCTCTCGAGTCTCATCCCTTACTCTACACCTTAGAAGTCACACAGGAAAGAAGGCATATAAATGTAATAAATGTGGAAAAGCCTTCGGCCAGAAAGAAAACTTCCTTTCTCATCAGAAATATCACACCGGAGATAAACCTTATGAATGTGAAAAAGTTTCTATTCAGATGCCAACCGTCATCAGACACCAGAAAAATCATACAGGAACCAAACCCTATGCATGTAAGGAATGTGGCAAAGCCTTTAACGGCAAAGCGTATCTCACTGAGCATGAGAAAATTCATACTGGAGAAAAACCATTTGAATGTAATCAGTGTGGAAGAGCCTTCACCCAGAAGCAATACCTCGTTAAACATCAGAACATCCATACTGGAAAGAAGCCCTTTAAATGTAGTGAGTGTGGAAAAGCTTTTAGCCAGAAGGAAAACCTCATTATACATCAGAGAATCCACACTGGAGAGAAACCTTATGAATGTAAAGGGTGTGGGAAAGCTTTCATTCAGAAGTCAAGCCTCATTAGACACCAGAGAAGTCACACAGGAGAGAAACCTTATACATGTAAGGAATGTGGGAAAGCCTTCAGTGGCAAATCAAATCTCACTGAGCATGAGAAAATTCATATTGGAGAGAAACCCTACAAATGCAATGAATGTGGAACAATCTTCAGGCAGAAGCAATACCTCATTAAACATCACAATATTCATACAGGAGAGAAACCCTATGAATGTAATAAATGTGGAAAAGCCTTCTCTCGAATCACATCACTTATTGTACACGTGAGAATTCATACAGGTGATAAGCCTTATGAGTGTAAGGTCTGTGGGAAAGCCTTCTGTCAAAGCTCATCTCTTACTGTGCATATGAGAAGCCATACAGGTGAGAAACCCTATGGTTGTAATGAATGTGGGAAAGCCTTTTCTCAGTTCTCAACCCTTGCTCTGCACATGAGAATCCATACTGGTGAAAAACCTTATCAATGTAGTGAATGTGGGAAAGCTTTCAGCCAAAAGTCACATCACATTAGACACCAGAGAATTCATACTCATTAAAGTTCTCTATGAATGCCTTGGATTTAGCAAAACATTCAGCAGATTTTACACTTAGTAGTGTGTTGGAAAATTCATTTTACATTAAAGTGACATGAATATGGGAAGTCCTTCAGCAGCAATTCAAAACTTAAATACTGTGATGTTTAATAAGTATTATAGTATAAAGAAAACCCATACCCCCAAAACTCCCACAACAAGCATTATCGATGCTGTACTTCTAGGAGTATTCTCATTAAAGTTAGGATCTAGTCATGGACACTACTTAATGTGTTCCTGGAATGCCTACCAGATGCATTAAGAAATAGATAGGAGACGTATAAGGTTTTGAAATTAAGAGACAAAATTATCATTTTTGTGATATGTTTTGCTACGTATATGACTTGTAAAACTAGAATCATCAAAATTATGTGTTGTTGAAGCAGTCAAACTGAGACTGAGACAGAATATTGAATTCAGAAATATATGCATGAATATATGGGGAATTGGTAATTGATAGAGGCGGTATCCCAAATTGGTGGGGAAATCATGGATTATTTAAAAAGTAATTGACTCTTCATATGGAAAAATAATAGATCTCGCCCATCATCATACGTTAAAATATTTTTCTTATGAATTCTAAAAGTGCTGAAGACTAAAATGCAAAAAGCAATACTTAATAATATAACAGTTTTATAAGAAAATATTTTTAAAACCTTAGGGCAGGAAAGAATTTCTAAAACATTCCAGAATACCTGGTAGTTCCACTCTTGAGTATGGTAGTCCCCTATTTTCTGCAAGGGATGGACTCTAAGAACCCCAGTGGATACCTGAAACCCAGATAGGACCAAACTCTATGTCTATGTTTTTTTATTATATATACATACCTATGATAAAATTTAGTTTACACATTAGACACAGCAAGAGATTTAAAACCGTAATAAATATAATGGAACAATTATAACAATATGCTGTAATCATAAAAGTTATGTGAATATGATCTTTCTCAGAATACCTTATTGTACTATTCTCAACTGTTTATGAACTGTGGTGACCACAGGTAACTGAAACCATGGAAAGCAAAGCTGTGGAGAAGGGGGAACTACTATATATATGCATATACCCAAGAAACACATGAACACAGGGAGTCACATACTGGTCTGTAGCTGTATAATTCATTGCATCATGAGTTATAATAGCCAGAAATTGGGAAACAAATGCCTGTCTCTTGTGAAATAGATGAATAAAATGTGACATAGTAACATAGTAGAATACTCTCTAGCAGTTAAGTGACAAATTAAGTCTATATATTAACAGAAAGATTAAAAAAAAACATTCAAGTGAAGAAAAATGATGAACATACTGTAATGATGCTTCTGTGAATTTGAATAAAATCAACACTAACCAGCCCTAGTACTAAGCATGGTTATAGATAAATTATGTAAAACTAAAGAATGGATTGAAAGGATATGTATGTACTCAATTCCCAAAAGTGGAGTGGTTACCTCTAGGAAGAAAGGAGGTGGAAGGGAAATGTTACCAAGCATGGTAGTTAAAGGATACTTCAATTTTGTATCTATTTCTTATTAAAAAGACATAAACATTCTAAGTAAACTAACAAAATGTTAATTCTGGGTGGTGGTAATATTTGTGTTCATTCTATCATTCGTGCTATTTATTTCCTTAAACTTCTGAAAATTAAAAAGTCCAGAGAGGAGTGAGGAAGCTATACATGAAACATTATAATGGACTTACATTCCTAGTGAGATACTAATATTCTATAGAAGATATTTCTAAAATCATATGAAATAATTTTTAATTGGGGTGGCAACTTAAATGCAATTAAACTAGTGTCACAAGAGTAATCTTTACATAATCTGTATGTAGTTCTAATCTGTATATAGTCTTGGAGGTTATGATTTGCCACAGGTTGATCACATACATTTAAGGATCATATTATTAAATAATATATGCACAGACATGGAGAGAATTAGTTTTTACCAAAACATTTATCAGAAATTTTAATACTCTGCATAACCAGTATTAGCATTATAAATTAGCCACTTTTAAAATGAGAAAACTGTGTCACTCTTAAACTTTTTTTTATAAGCCATTGAGTAAAACATTAACTTGTGGATTTCAGCTTCACTTTTAACTTGCAGACTAAATTTCTTTCACAGTTAGTCAGACACACCCAAGTCAATCCCAACCCCCTTGTTACCCTGGGAAGACATGCTGAAAAAAGAGATCTTCCACCTACACAGTGTTATCTTATTTGAAGCAAATCTTTTTGAGAATTTCTGTTTACTTGATTTCCTTCCACAATAAATTGACAGAGAAAACTACTAATGAATTTTTTTTTTTTTTTTTTTTTTTTTTTTGAGACGGAGTTTTGTTCTTGTTGCCCAGGCTGCAGTGCAATGGCACAGTCTCGGCTCACTGCAACCTCCGCCTCCCAGGTTCAAGTGGTTATCCTGCCTCAGCCTCTTGAGTAGCTGGGATTACAGGTATGTGCCACCACACCCGGCTAATTTTGTATTTTCAGTAGAGATGGAATTTCACCATGTTGGCCAGGCTGGTCTTGAATTCCCAACTTGAGGTAATCCACCTGCTTCAGCTTCCCAGAGAGCTGGGATTACAGGCATGAGCCACCACACCCGGCTAATTTTGTATTTTTAGTAGAGACGGTGTTTCTCTAATGTTGGTCAGGCTGGTCTTGAACTCCTGACCTCAGGTGATCTGCCCACCTCAGCCTCCCAAAGCACTGGGATTACAGGCATGAGCCACCATGCCTGGCCTGATATTTTTGAATGATTATGAAAATGAGTATACAGCATTTAAACCTTAGAGTGATTTTAAATATATCAATTTCTTTTAAACTCAATATAATGTTAATATTACTATAGCACTTATTAGCGTTTCTGGAGGTTGGTCTTGAGATAAGATTAAAAATGACAGTTGTTGATTTTCTGAGGTAATATACCCAAAGAAAATATTTGTATGTCTACATGAATCTAAACTATTCTGTCTTCTTCCGTTCTTCATTTTGCTTTAGTTAAATAATCTTTCATATTTTGTAAGTGTTTTGCCCATGTGCTTGTGTAGCCTTGAAGTCACCAGAATAACTAGGACTCAAATTCAGACCAAACCAGGAGGACTATCTTTTTGTGCCTTGAGTTAGCTATGGTCCTGGACCCAGCAAAAAGAATGATTTTGATGGTCAGAGTAAGATGAGCAATCGCAATATAATATTCTCTAATATTGTATACTGTAAATTTATTCATCTGCCCCCTTGTTTACTCACAGTTTGCTTATTTGCCACCATAAGAAATGCTACAATAAAAATTCGTGTAATCACCCCTTCAATTTCAGTTGTTTTTATTTCTGTGGGTCAGATTATAGGGAAGGGATTGGTAGATCAAGGGATGGATGCTATTTTAAAATTTTTAATAGATGTTGCCAGAATCAGGTCCAAAAGAACAACATATCCTCTGGCCCTGCAATAGATCCTATGATGCTACTTAATTGTATGCTTCTTTGATGAGTATAAACCTCACTTGCTCCCAGATTTGCTTCTTTGAGAGTTTTCATATTGTTAGCTCATTTTTCTATAGGATTATTTATCTTTTTGCCTCCCTTTTTCTTTTCTTGAGTTAAGGTCTGGCTGTATCGCCCAGGCTGGAGTATTGTGGCACAATCTTGGCTCACTGCAACCTCCACCACCCAGGCTCAAGCCATCCTCCCACCTCAGCTTCCCAAGTAGCTGGGACTATGGGCCTGCGCCACCATGCCTGGCTATAGTTTTCTTTTCTTGTTTTTTTGTTTTTTTGTTTTTTGAGACAGAGTCTCACACTGTTGCCCAGTCTGGAGTGCAATGGCGCGATCTTCGCTCACTGCAACCGCTGCCTCCTGGGTTCAAGCGATTCTCCTGCCTCAGCCTCCCGAGCAGCTGGGACTACAGGCGCACACCACCATGCCCAGCTAATTTTTGTATTTTTAGTAGAGACGGGGTTTCACAATGGTAGCCAGGATGGTCTCAATCTCTTGACTTCATGATCCGCCCACCTCGGCCTCCCAAAGTGCTGGGATTACAGGCATGAGCCACCGGTGCCCGCCCTAGTTTTCTGGTTTTTGTAGACAGGGCTCATCATGTTGCCCAGGCTAGTCTTGAAATTCTGAGCTCAAGTGATCCACCTACTTTGGCCTCCTGAAGTACTGGAATTACGGCGTGAGCCATCGCACCTGGCCATTTTATATTAGTGTATTTTTAATATAAAAGCTAAATATTTAGACAAATAATTGCCTTTTATTTATAGCCAATTTGGTCACACGCAAAATTTATTGCATAAATTTATCCTTCATGAATTTTATAGTTACACGTAGTTAGGCATGAGCGAGGCAGGTGAGGGCTCTCTGCCCACCCGCTAGGAATGTCACGTAATGGTTTGGCAGTTTTGACATTGCCTCTTGGAAAATGATAATTCTGCCAGGCGCAGTGGCTCATGCCTGTAATCCCAGCACTTTGGGAGGCCAAGACAGGCAAATCATTTGAGGTCAGGAGTTCAAGACCACCCTGACCAACATGATGAAACTTTGTCTCTGCTAAAAATACAAAAATTAGCCAGGCATGGTGGCATATGCCTGTAGTCCCAGCTACTCGGGAGGCTGAGGCAGGAGCATCGCTTGAACCCGGGAGGCAGAGGTTGCAGTGAGCTGAGATCGTACCATGGCACTCCAGCCTAGGTGACAGAGCAAAACTCCGTCTTAAAAAAAAAAAAAAAGAAAAAATGAGAATTCCAAGGAGGGACAATCTCCTGATGGTCCACACCTGTTAACATTAAACGTGTTAACTGAATGCAGGCCCAGAGAAAAGCAGCTTCTTGGCCATGTGTGTGAAGAGACAAAATGGTGACATGACCTACCAGGGGCACATGCCACCAGAAAAAGGAAAAAAGCCTCAGATGGGCATGTGCATAACTCCCTAAACATGTTGCATGTGCCTAATTCCAAAGGGTAAGGAAAGCACTGTGCATTTGGCGAGCCCACCCTAAAGGAAGAATCATGGGAAAGAGGTGAGTTTATAAAGTCCTAGGATCAAGGTTAAAGTCTTTTTTTTTTTTTGAGATGAAGTCTTGCTCTGTTGCCCAGGCTGGAGTGCAGTGGCGTGATCTCGGCTCACTGCAACCTCCACCTCCCAGGTTCAAGTGATTGTCCTGCCTCAGCCTCCTGAGTAGCTGGGATTACAGGTGCATGCCACCGCATCCAGCTAATTTTTGTATTTTTAGTAGAGACGGGGTTTCACCTTATTGGCCAGGATGGTCTCAATCTCCTGACCTCATGATCCACCCTCCTTCGCCTCCCAAAGTGCTGGGATTACAGGTGTGAGCCACTGCACCCAGCCAAAGACTCCTTTTTTGGGGGGAGGGGGGAGGGGTCTTTTCTCTCTTGGACCTTCAGGCATATGTTTGGCTCTCTTCCAAGTGAATTTTCCTTTCTTTACTGTTCTAAAGCCTTTTAAAATAAACTTCCACTCGTGCTCTGAAACTTGCCTCAGTCTCTTTTTCTGCTTCCCCTCAGTTGAATTCTTTCTTCTGAGAAGTCACGGGCTGAAGTTGCTGTGGACTCCTATGAATATGCCACTGGTAATGGGGTAATTCAGATATCTGTCACCACTAACTTTATCACAACTTATTCAGACCTTTGACAACATGCTTTGACTTTCTGCTTTGTCCTGTGCTTTCTGTAAGAAAAAAAAAATCACTTTAGGGACCAATATTTATCACATAAGATTCATTCTCATACAAAGTTATTCTCTTTTGCTTTTAACTTGCCTTACCAAAAATGTATCTTCATATTAATAACTTTCTTCACATCTCTCTGTCCTATTGGTTCTTTTCCTTTTTTTTTTTTTTGAGACGGAATCTCACTCTGTCTGCCAGGCTGGAGTGCAGTGGCACCATCTTGGCTCACTTCAACCTTCTCCTCCCAGGTTCAAGCAATTCTCTTGAACCTCAGCCTCCCGAGTAGCTGGGACTACAGGTGCCCACCACCACACCCAGCTAATTTTTGTATTTTTAGTAGAGACAGGGGTTTCACCATGTTAGCAAGGCTGGTCTTGAACTCCTGACCTCGTGATCCACCCGCCTCCCAAAGTGCTGGGATTACAAGCGTGAGCCACCAAACCTGGCCTATTTAGAGTTTTTATAAAATTTAAAATGCCAAAACCAAACATTTATGTTCAGCAATTTGTATTTCGGTACCAACCAAGACATTTAGTGTCTATTAATTAAGTAACATAATGGTAAGATGTCAAATTACATGAAAAGTCTTTTTATGTCTACCCCATTTACATTTACCTAATTGATTTTTTTTTTTTTTTTTTTTTTTTTTTTTTACGACAGAGTCTCACTCTGTCACCCAGGCTGGAGTGCAGTGGCACGATCTCGGCTCACTGCAAGCTCCGCCTCCTGGGTTCACACCATTCTCCTGCCTCAGCCTCCCAAGTAGCTGGGACTACAGGTGCCCACCACCACCATCACCATGTTAGCCAGGATGGTCTCGATCTGACCTCATGATCCGCCCACCTCAGCCTCCCAAAGTGCTGGGATTATAGGCGTGAGCCACCATGCCTGGCCCTAATTGATTTATTTTTAACAATTATACTGAAATTCTGAAAACTGAGCTATTAGACAAAGTCACTATTTGAAGTTATTCATGTATCTGATGTGTGATCAATATCGACAATATATAGAAAATTCCTAATACTCAACAAGAAAGCAAACAACGAGACCAAAAGGGTAAATGAATTAAATAGCCATTTATCCTAATAAGTTTTTTGTTTGTTTGTTTGTTTGTTTTTTGAAACAGAGTCTGGCTCTGTCACCCAGGCTAGAGTGCAGCGGCACAATCTTGGCTCACTGCAACCTCTGCTTCCAGGGTTCAAGCAACTCTCTGACTCAGCCTCCTGAGTAACTGGGATTACAGGTGCATACCACCATGCACGGCTAATTTTTATGTTTTTAGTAGAGATGAGGATTTGCCATGTTGGTCAGGCTGGTCTCGAACTCCTGACCTCAGGTGATCCACCTGCCTCAGCCTCCCAAAATGTTGGAATTACAGGCATGAGCCACTGCAACCGGCCCAAGATTTTTTCATGCACCAGTGCTTACTGGCTTCATGCTTACTGGCGCATGAAAAAATCTCAACATCATTAGGAATATGCAAATCAAAACTAAAATGAGATTACCAACTCACCCATTAGGATGGCTATTAAACAAAATACAGAAAATAACAAGTGTTTAAGGATAAAAAGAAATAGGAACCTGGCCTGGTGCGGTGGCTCACACCTGTAATCCTAGCACTTTGGAAGGCCAAGACAAGCAGATTGCCTGAGCTCAGGAATTCGAGACCTGCCTGGGCAACATGGTGAAATCCTGTCTCTACTAAAATACAAGAAAATTAGCCACTGCACTCCAGCCTGGGCAACAGAGCAAGACTCTGTCTCCAAAAAAAAAAAAAAGAAATGGGAACTCTTATGCCCTATTGATGAGGGTGTAAAGTGGTACAGCCACTGTGGAAAAAATTAGAGTAGTTCCTCAAAAAAATTAAATATATAGCACTTTGGGAGGCTGAGGCAAGGGGATCTCTTGAGCACAGGAGTTTGAGACCAGTCTGGGCAACCTCTACAAAAAATATAAAAATTAGCTGGCTGTGGTGGCATGCACCTGTACTTTATGCCCCTAAGTTGAAATTTTTTTTTTTATTTTTTTGAGATGGAGTTTTGCTCTTGTTGCCGAGGCTAGAGTGCAGTGGCATGATTCTCCTGCCTTAGCCTCCCGAGTAGCTGGGATTACAGGCATATACCACCATGCTTGGCTAATTTTGTATTTTTAGTAGAGATAGCACTTCTCCATGTTGGTCAGGCTGGTCTTGAGCTCCTGACCTCCCGACCTTAGGTGATCCACCCGCCTCGGCCTCCCAAAGTGCTGGGATTACAGGCATGAGCCACCACGCCCAGCCAGACATTTTGAGTCTTGCTCTGTCGCCTAGGCTGGAGTGCAGTGGTGAGATACCAGCTCACTGCAACCTCCGCCTCCCGGGTTCAAGTGATACTCCTGCCTCAGCCTCCTAAGTAGCTGGGATTACAGGCACCTGCCACCACACCCAGCTAATTTTTGCATTTTTGGTAGAGACGTGTTTCACCATGTTGGCCAGGCTGGTCTTGAACTCCTGATCTCACGTGATCCACCCGCCTCAGTCTCCCAAAGTGCTGGGATTACAGGCATGAGCCACCGCTCCCTGAAGCCTTGATAATGTCATGATAATGTTAGCAGTGGCACAGATCCAAGTTATCCCAAGTTACCAGC